TGGGCTGAGTGCACCTGGACAATTTTGTACACTTGCCCTTTCTCCTGAACATCAAGCTCTGTGCAATCCTTGCCCCTTTAGCAGCCCTCTAACTGTTAGGCAGTCTCTCAGACTGCCTCCCTTTCTTTTGTCCCAGAGCACCTGGATGTGGATCCCTGTTTACCACAAGCGGCTGGAATCTCAGTCTCTCCAAGTATTCACCTGTCTTAGCTTTGCAGCCCCACTTATCTCCAGAGCATTATGCAATGTAGGTTCATGCTCACAGAGCCAATCTCCAGGGCTGGGTGTTCAGCAGTCCTAGGCCTCCACCCCTTCCCCCCTCCATTTCTCTTCCTCTTGCTGGTGAGCTGGTGTGGGGGAAGGGCTTGGGTCCCGCTGGATCACGGCTTTTGTATGTTTCCCTGTTTTGTGAGGTCTTCTCTTTTCTTCAGGTGTATGTAGTCTGGCGCAGCCTTCTTTCCTGTTGATCTTTTAGGATTAGTTGTATTAACTTTATTTTCATATTATATGTGGTTTTGGGAGGAGGTCTCTGTCTCACCTCTCATGCCGCCATCTTTAATCTCTCCTGGTCAATTTTTTTAATGTGTGTTTTTATTTAGCTGTTCTGGAAAAAATAATAGTTAAATTCACTTCTTTGTTTTATGAGTATAGAGCCAGAATGTGATTCTTCAGACTTTTGATTTATACTACCTTTGAGGTTGGAGAAATGAAATAAGGTGGTAGCGTTCAGTTATTCATTTATTTATGTCCAATCTGCACCTCTACTCCTATGTAAATAATTTCAGTGCAAAATTGTAGTAACATTTTTCACAGCAGGCTCTTGACCCAGACTTGTCTGTTCTGATTTACCACTTAACTGGCTTGCCTTGGGAGGTCATACTACCATCTTTAAGCCTCAGTTGTCTTCATTTACAAAAATACTTACTTTCTAGGGTTGAAAAGGTTAATAGTCAATGGTTTTTACTTTTGTTACTATTCATGAATGCTATTTATATCATTGTCCCTCAGATTTTATAATACATATTCATTGTAAATAATTTGTAAAATGCAGCAAAGCACAAAGAAGGAAAATAAGGTACGTATGATTGCACTTTCATTTTTGGAAGTAAAATTTTGATGTATAGACTTTTTAAGAAATGTATCTTTAAAATAAAGTATAGCTTTTTAAAAAATATATATCTTTTAGAATCTTTTCCTTCACTTACCAATACATGCATGTTTCTTCTCATGTTCAAATATTATATAATGTTAATGAATACATAAGGTTCCTCCTTTATGAACATTTTGTTTCCAGATTTTACTTTGTAAATAATGTCTTGAGTCTCTTATGCTTGAACTCAGTTTGCATTTTAGATTATTTTATTAATATAAAACACAGAAAGTGGATCCTGATTCTGGTGCTTTTTTCAGTTGATTTTACAAAATGTTTATAGTTTATAATCCCATCAGCAATGTATGCTCTTATGTAGTATTATAATGTTAAAAAACAATTTCTTGTCAGTTTGATAAGTTTATTTTAAATGGCATATTCCAATGTATTTGTTTCAGATTTTAGGAAACAGAAAGTCATGTTTACTTACCAGTCTTATTTCTTCAGTAAACCGTACATTTTCTCTGCCTCTTCTGAGAGGTCTTTCCCCAGTTTGTTCAGACCTTTTACATTGTAAGGATCTGCCTATATTACTTTGCTAGGTGAGGGTGCAATGTTACGGGCTGAACTTTGTCACCCCCAAAATGCACTTTTTGGAATCCTAACCCTGGCATCTCAAAATAAGTCTGTGTTTGGGATAGGGCATTTAAGAGGTAATTAAGGTAAAATTAGTTCCCATGCATGGTCTCTAATCCAATATGACTGCTGCCCTGATAAGAAAAGGAGATTAAGATACAGACATACACAGAGGGAAGACTATAGGAAGACAAGTAAAAAAGATAGCCATCTTTCAGCCAAGGAGAGAGGCCTTCAGAACAAAGAAACTCTTTCAAGACACCTTGTTCCTATACTTCTGGCCTCCATAACTATGAGAAAATAAATTTTTATGTTTAAGCCTACTGGTCTGTAGTATTTGTTATAGGAGCCCTAGCAGATTTATAGAGGGCCTTAACCTTTTGTCTGTCATGTTTTTGCAAGTATTTTTTTACTAATATGTTATTTAGCTTTTAATTTTAGGTATGTAATTGTTTTATAGTAGTATAGAAAATTTTCTCTTTTGTCTCAAAGCTCAGGACATTTTAATACATTATTATTTTAAATCTGTATGTGTATATAAAAAGTCCTCACCCTTTTCTAAGTGCTTACAACATTGTACAACAAAAAAAAATTAACAAAATTTTTTTATACTCTTTGAAAGTCTAAAACTTACTTGTTTATATTTCAGAATTTTAACATTGTATAGGAATACCAATACATGCATTTTGGATAAAGATACGTGAAGAAAAGCTTTTTAGCTTTTTTTACCTGTTTACCTATTTACACAGCATTTTCCATTCACATAAAGTGATCATTTGTATAGTCTGTTTCCCTGCTGTGAAAATATTGTAGTATCTGAGAGCTATTCTATTCCTATACTCTATCCTATTCTATTTGGAACATCTCTTTTTTGTTTTCTCTCTAAAAAAGAAACTGGAGAGGAGATTTACAAGGATTCTACCAATAGGATAGAATCTGGGTATCAGTAGGATAGGGTACACCATTAGCTTTTTCTCTACAATATTGTGCCTTTTAAGTACATTCTTGGGTCCATTGCTTTCACATAGACAGATGTGATGGTCTCTTTGGTTGTTTCTCCTCATGTTCAAATATTATATAATTATTCTGTATTGTTAAGATGTGCGTGACTTGATACTGAGGAAGAATAATAATAGCACTTGAAAAACCCTTCTGATTCTTTAATGTTAATTAAATGATTAACTTCCTTTATCCTTTTTCAGTTAAGCCTGGTGAATGATTTGAGAAACTTTCATGTAACTTTTAGATTAAAATGCCATATGGTCATCTAGGTGGATTGGAAGTACCTAGTATTAGATAAGCGTTCTTAATGAAAACAACAAGGAAAGCTTGTCTGAGGCTAGCAGGAAACTACTTGGGCAACAAGAAGTATAGGAGACAAAATTTCAGAGGAGAGAATTTTGTGAAGTTGAGCCTACTTCTTCAACAACTTTTACCTGGGGGATACTTGTAAAATACTTGCAAATGTGGGGTATGGGCAGGAAGCTAAGAATTCAGACTTTCAGACCCAGGAGTACTTTGCTGAACAGAAAAAAAAAACCAGCATACACCTTTGGGTTAAACCTAGGGAAAATCCGTATAAGGAGATTCTTCCTTCTGTACATTTGTTGAATTCTGGGACTTGGTGGGATGGGAAGGTTGAAAACTTAAGCAGAAAATCTTTGAATATCAGGTTGGAACTTGCAGTGTTTTTGCAACAGAAAAATTAGATAGGTCATCCTCTTGGAACTAGTCCCTAACAGCAGGCATTCAGTTAAAACGGTGGAGTGGAGTGGTGGGGTGGCAAGGAGGGAAAGGAAAAACCAGAGGTAGACTGGGTCTTACCAGAGGAGCAACGTAATATAGACTCAGCATTGTTCAGTGACTAACAAAGAGAAGGATGAACCATTTGTGGAGAAAGATAATATCAGGAATCTGTAAGTTTTTATATACAAAGATTATAGGATCTACCAAGATGAGGAACATATGACTAGAACAAAGGGAAAGGTAGGTAATAGAAACAGATCCAGAGATGATCCACATGTTCACATCCATTTACACAACAAGCACTTAAATATTTTAATATGTGAAAAAAATTGGAGGAAACTGTAGTGAAAGTGAAGATTTTTCATTATGATGTTGGATATGTGTAAAATTAAATAGAAATTCAAGAAGAGAAAAATGCATTACTAAGAATTTAAAACTCACTAGATAAGTATAATAAATTAGACTTGTCAGAAGACAGTTAAATAGAAAATGTCCATCCTACACACTGAGATAAAAGAGAATGGAGTAAACAGAAAAGAAGCTTTAAATATTTGTGGTATACATGTCATAAAAAAATATGACATTTGAATTACCAGAAAGAGAGAAGAGAAAGAAACTAAGATTGCTGAAAACCAAAGATAAAGGAAAAAATATTGAACAGAGTCTGAGAAAAAGGATATGTGACCTTCTAAGGAGCCAACAGTAAGACTGACGTCAGACTAAAACAGAAGTAATGGAAGCTATCTTGAAACTTTTAAAGAAAATACCAGCCAACCTAAAAATCTGTAAATCCAGCAAAATATCTTCCAAAAGCAAAAGTGAAAAAAAAAATCATCTCCAGACAAACAAAAACTTAAAGAATCCATTACAAGCAACCTTGGCTAAAAATTTCTTAAATAATGGAAGCACCAGTAAAAGAAACTAGTAAGAAACAGGGTTCTTTGGATGAAGAATATCCCATTAAGGTACCACTGAAGTGAAGAATAATGGAAAAGATGAATTTGTGAGTAAATATAAACTGATGTTGACTAATTGTTAACTAAAAACAAAAGTAACAGTAATGTCCTATGGGGCTTAAAAGAGAGGTAGAAAAAAAGCAGTAATAAAGTGAAAGGTGAGGGAAGTAAATGGAGTTAGTGTTGTAAAAGTCTAGCATTATTGAGACTATGGTAAAGTAATTATTTCTCTTAGACTGTAATAAGTCAACAGTGCATGTTATAATCTCTCTTGTAATCACTAAAAGAGTAGTTTTTGTGAGAGTAAAATAAGTGAGGGGAAAAAATGGAATAATACAAAATGGTTAATTCAAAAAGGCAATAAAGGTAATGGGTTAAAAAAACCTAAAATTGGCAGGTCAGATAAAAACACTGTAAGATGATAGAAATAAATCTACATATTGAGCAGTAGAATCATATATTTTCAAAATTTTATTGAAGAATATACCTTATTTTCAATTCTAAAAAGTAATGTCTACAAATAGACAAATATATTACACATATACGCATACTTTTTTGTTTTGTTTTGACAGCTTCTTTGTGATATTGGCCACAGTGAAGAAAAATTGGGTTTTAACTATGAGGACATCATAATTTGGTAAGTATAATCCAGTTCCTTCCCTTACCCTTTCTAGATTTTAGTAATTTTAAACTAAAAATAGGATAGTATAACACCTTATATTTGATATCAGTTGTTTAAACATTAGAAAAATTCATGATCTCCAGTTTTAATTACCCTGTTGTTCTTAGTGATATTTTGTAATTATCAAATATAAATAACCAAAGCTAATGTTGAAAAATGCCTGCATTTCTACAATTTAAAATTCTAAATTTAATCTACAAGTTACAGAGTGAAAGTTCTCATATTATTCCCAAGAACAAGAAGAACCTGTAGATTTGTCTTTAGATTATCATAAGCCAAAATGTGCTTATGGCAAACCTGACTTGATCAAACCCACCAGTAGGGGTGTAATGTTATAGTTTCATAGTCATCTTTTTGTTATGCTTAGGAATTAAAATTAATGTAAATAGTCTGTGCCTACTGTCATTATACAGTATTTATTGGTTTAAACCAATGATTCTTTGAGAGAAGTGGAAGCAGGTAGGTACAAAGAGGGGAATTGATGGTAGGGGCATATGTGATACACGTTGAAAGAGGCATATTTAATTTCCCATGTCATATAAATTACAAAAGGTAGAACAAAACTCAGTAACATTTTCTTCGGTAAGACTGTACCAAGGAGGCATAGATTAGGAAATAACATTAGTGAAGTTCCATTATAGCAAATGATTTTATATATGTAAAATGCCTATCAGTTTTGCTTATTTCACCTGAGGAAGAATTTGGTTCTGTAGTTGTATTTGCTTTTGAAACTCATGCAGCAAAACTTTTTTTTGTTTCTCATACAGCTTGCGGTTAGCTTTACTGAATGAAGCAAAAGAAGTACGGGCAGCAGGGCTACGAGCTCTTCGATATCTCATCCAAGACTCCAGTATTCTGCAGAAGGTGCTAAAACTAAAAGTGGACTATTTAATAGCTAGGTAATTTTCCTACAACTCTCTATGTTTATATTTGTTTTTATAATACGTGTTAAGTTTTAGCATACCACCATAAAGTATACAAATTTTTAGTGTAAAGCCTGATTATTTTTACAAATATGTACAACCAATTACCCAATTATCCCAAATAATAAATAGAACATTTTCATCATCCATTCAACTTCCTTTGTGTTTCCAACCAGTAATACACATTATTCTGACCTTGCTCATTATAGACTAATTTTTCCTGTTCTTGAGCATCATATATTGGAAATATACAGTTATTCTTTTCTTTCCTCACTTTTATCTGTGAGATTTATCTATGTGTATTTTTTTAATTTCTATGTACTATTTCATGTTATGAATAGACCACAATCTGTTTATCCAGTTTTGTTGATTTTGTCGGTTTTTGTTATTTGACTGTTTTGATAAAGCTGACCTGAACATTCTTGTTCAAGTCCGCATTGGTGGACATAAATACTCATTTCTCTTAGGCTATACATGTAGGAGTGGAATTGCTGGGTCATAACGTTTATGTATATTTAGTTTTAGTACATACTGCCAAATAGTTTTCTATAGAGATTTCTACCAATTTACATTCCTACCACCAATGTTTGAGAGTTCCAGTCTCTCCACATCCTCATCAGCACTTTTTGTTTTCAGTTTTTAATTATAACGTTTCTGCTGCAGTTTTCATTGTGAGTTCTCATTCTGGTTTTAATTTGCATTTCCCTAATAGGTAGTGGTGTTAAGCACCTTTTATTTTCTTGTTGGCTTTTTGGGTAGTCTCCTTGTCTTTTGATCATTTGTAGATTTGATTGCCTGTCTGTCTTGTATAGGAATTCTTAATATCTTCTGGATATAATTCCTTTCAGGTGTATGAATTGACAGTATCTTCTCCAGTCTGCCTGGCCTTTCCTGCAGTTCTTTATTGTTAATGTTTTTAGTCTCTTTGAAAGATATTACTGTACTTTTTCATCTAAAGGTTTTATTCCTTTATATGTTTAAGTAGGTGTCAGGTCACATTAATTTTCATCTTTATGGATATTCAATAAATATTAGCATTTATGGAAAAGGTTTTCCTCTCATGTCTAGATTAGTGTCACTTTTGTTGTAAATCAAGTAACTTATAAGTATGGATCTATTTCTGCATTCTCTGTTCTCTTTAGTTGGTCTGTTTGCCTATTGTGGCTCCACTTTCTCACTGTTTTAATGACTGCAGCTTGATAATGGTCTTTAATTTCTCTCAACAGCATTTTGTTTTCTGTGCAGAGGTCTTACACATATTTGTTAGGTTTATTCTAAGGTGTACAAGTGTATTAATGTAATTTTTACTTTTCCATATTTTTTTGCTACTAATACATAGAAAAATAAATGTGGCTTTTTGGGTTTTTTTAAAGACAGGCAAAAAAGCTAGTGAAAGAGACTGAGATCAATGAGAAATAGTGAATAATACAAGTATTGAAATGAGAAAATAAGATATAGATCAAGAATACAAGTGGAAAGATTACAAAATAGAAGTATAATAACACATTTTTCAGATTTCTAACTCCTGCTAAATTGAGTGTCTGACAGCCAAAGTGTATTTGTAACCTTTGCTTTTTTGTTTTTTGCTTTTGTATGTTAACCTCTTACTTAGTGATCTTGCTAAATTTGCTTTCCAGTTTTAATTTTTTTTATGATTATTTTAGAGTTTCTGTGTACATAAGCAATTAATTGCAAATGATGACTGTTTTATTTCTCTCTTTTCAATCCTTGCATCTTTGTTTTTCTTGCCTTATACTGTACTGGTTAGAATATTGCACTGACTAGAAATGGTGGCAGTGGAGACAACTTTGTTTTGCTCCTGAAATCAGGTTGAAAGTTTCCAGTTTTTTGTCATTATTTATGATATTTCTGTAGACTTTTAATTCATTTCTTTTTATTCCTTGTATGCATTCCTGAAGTAAACACCACTTGTTCATGATGTCTTGTCCTTTTTATGTATAACTGAATTTGGTTTGCTTATATTTTGTGGAAGATTTTTGCAGCTATGTTTGTGAGGGGTATTAGCCTATGTTTTTCCATTCTTCTGATGTCCATGTTTGGTTTTGGTATCAAGAAAATGTTTGTTTTATAAAACAATGAGGGAAGTATTGCTCTCCTTTTGTTTTCTCTGGATGAATTTATGTAAGGTGGGTGTTGTTTTTGCCCTACTTCGTTAGTACAATCCACTAGGGAATCTTTGTGGACCTGTGGTTCTCTTTTTTAGGAAGTCTTATGACTTATAGACTCAATTTTCTTTAAAAGATAGAGTACTATGCAGATTTTCTACTTCTGTCAGTTCTTGCTTTATGTATTTTATATATATCTTGCTAAGTCCTTCATATTTAGAATTGTTAAGCCTTCACATTGAACCAGTCCTTTCATAGTTATGAAATATCCATCTTCATTCCTAGTAATAGTTCTAGGTGTTCATGTTATTTAGTATTAATATGGCTATACTAACTTTATTTTATTTAGGTTTGCATGATACATGATTTCCCATCCTTTTACTTTGTCTTTTGACCTTTACGTGTAAGTTTCTCACCTGTAAACATCGTACAGGTTGTTTATTTTTTTAAAATCTTGTTTGAGCATCTTTGTCTTCTAATTGGAGTATTTATACTATGTGTAATGGTTTGTATATGTGTGGTCTATAGACTTTATCTAATGTAATATTTAATATCTTTATGAGTTTGTCATCTTGCTATTAGTTGTCTCATGTATTTGAGTTTGCTATCTTGCTATTTGTATTCTATTTGTTATATCTGCTCATTCTTGCGTTTTTCTGTTTTTATTTCTTTTGGAATAATGAAGAATTTGTTTCCTCTTCTATTAATGTCTTGGTTATAGTCTTCTCTATTTTTTTGCAGTTGACCTAGAGACTACCAAATTCTTGATGTATTAAGGCTTATTACAACTAGAACAAGGCAGGAAACCTCTTATTAACTCTGTCATCTCCCTTCTGCTTTTTATGTTATTGTTATATTTTTTATTTTTACATATGTGTAAAGCATGTGTAACCCCAGAGGATAGTGCCCTTATTGTTTATAACTGGAACTGTTGATATTTATCTACATTATTTACCCCTGTAGTATTCCTTCTTGTATTTTCACTTTCAACTTGGTGCACTTTTCCTTTACTGTTTCTTGTAGTACAGATCTACTAGAGATGAATTCTCTCATTTTTTTGTCTGTAAGGTGCCTCTATTTTGCCTTCATATTTGAAAGCTCTTTTTATGACCAATTATTGTTTTTCAGTGCTTTAAATAAGTTGCTGTCTTCTGGATTTTTCTTTTTTAACCTGTTGAACAATTGTCTTTCTTCTTGTTGCTTCTTTGTAACTGATGTCTTTCTTTCTCTCCTCTGGCTACTTCAAAGGTTTTTTCTGTTATATTCTTTCCTATCTTCCATTATTCCAGTTATATGGTATTGGATGTGTTCACTGTCCAACATGTCCCTGATACCCTTACTGTATTTTCAGACTTTATTATTAATTTTTGTCCTTCACTGTAGCTAATTTTTACTAACCTGTTTTTGTTTTTAATTCCTCCATCCTAATAGTAAATCAGTCTCTTGAATTTTTAATTTCAGTTATTGTATTTCTGTGATTTATTTTGGTCTTATTTAAAAATGATTCTAGGTCACTGCTTTATTTCACCATCTTTCCTTCTATTTACTTGAGCATATTAATCATAGTTATTTATAGCCCTCTTACAACAACTCCAGTATATAAATCACCTGTGTACTCTTTCTATTGTCATTTTCTTTTCTTGGCTTTTAGTTACTTGACTATATGTTTATTTGTTTTAAAGCATAGTTCATGTTATTATCTGATTGGATGTGAATTCAGCTGGGTTGTATATTCAACATTTTTGGCTCTGAATCGTACAGTTTTCCTCTTAAGAGAGTTAAACCTTATTCTGGAATGTTGGCTTATCACACTGTTTCTGTTAAATCTTGGTTTTAGCTTTGCCTTTGTTTTAGGAAGTGGCTATTTGGGATCTCAAGTAAAAATATAGATGTGTAGTATAACTCCTTTTCCATGACCATCCTGGAGCCCTATTATCTTACTTAGAGTATTATGTACATGATGAAATATTTCTGCTCAATTCCTTAGCTTCTCTGCAGTAGTTTTTTGCTTAGTTTTTAAAAATTGTAACCTTGCTTTTGCACAAACTTGGCAAGTGCCTTCAAGAGGAGATTGCATGCAGATTTGTGCTCATTCTCCTGTTTCTTTTCTCTATGATTTTTCCTTTCAAGTCCTAGTCATTTTAGCTGCCTTAAAGTTCAGCCTGTCTCTGTAATCCACCAAGACTTTTGCTTTCTGCTAGTACTCTATTCCCCTAAAACTAGGAGTTGACAAGTGCCCCAGATACAAAGCCTAATTGGATGTGGAGCTTATGCTTCTCTTCTGAGGGATTATTATCCACTGCTCTTTTAACATTTGCTCTATGAAGTATTTTATTTAGCCTTTATAGTTGTTTTTGACAGGTGGATTGGTCTGATACAAGCCTGTCTGTGTGGCCAAAAAAGGAATTCTCTGTCTGTTTACTTTTAAATAAAATTGTTTTAGATTATAGTCACATAGAAAAAATGCTTTTTGAATATTATAGCAAGCGTGTCTATATATAGAGTATTGAGTAGAAGAGGTAACTGCCTAAAAAGTAAAAGTGAATTATTCTGGCACATAAACCCTTTAGAAATGGAATAATTTATAAATTTTCAATATAACTGATGCTAGAAACATCAGTTAATGATACCTGATTGAGAATTGATTTTTAAAGCACATTCCAATTTCAAATTATATTTTGGTTAAAATAAATAATATGGATAGTCTAGTCATAATAAATAAAATTTAGGCCCTGTAGTAGCAATTAAACTAAAACATAGGCTTGAAATATTTTTCCTTCACAATTTTTTATAAAATATCTGATTTTTATCAAAGATAGGTGAATATTTTTCAGTAATTTCTGGTACTTTCCTCTGAAAGTATGTTTATTATTTCTCTATAGATATCAAAATTCTTTAAATTATTTACTATATTATTCTTTCCTGGAGTTTTAAATGAAATAGTTTTGAAATGTTTTATTGTAATAAATATTTATCACTAGAGACATATGTTAACTAAATATCTGTTACTACTGAAAAATCACATGTATTAAAATTTTTAAATTTCATACTGACATTATAAAGATGCATCTGATATAGTGGTATTACTATACAAAAATTATTTAATAAGATTTATCAGTAATTAAATACTTTTTGTGTTATTTAGGTGCATTGACATACAACAGAGCAACGAGGTAGAGAGGACACAAGCACTGCGATTAGTAAGAAAGGTATGCTCTATGTCTGAGAGTGAAGGCAGATTTATGATTTCATGTTATGTGTTTTACATTTTTAGATTTAGACTGTTCTGTGAAATCTTTCTATTAGAATTCAAAAGCTAAATTCTCATTTTTATTTTGTTAAAATTTTATTAGTTAAATAGATCTAGTGAACATTAAGGTAAGTGTAAATATTTTCTGTAATTCTTTGTGATTGGCTATAGCTACGACAGTATGGTTTATAACATGCTCATTGAAAAGAATATGGTAGTTCATCATTATCCACAGTTGTGCTTTCCCTGGTGTCAGTCACCTGTGGCCAGCCACGATCTGAAAGCAGGTGAATCTTCCTCCTTCTGACTCTGGTCAGAAGGTCACTAGTAGCCTAACACTGTCACAGTGCCTACCTCATTCCTTACTTAATATCATCTCATAGGCATTTTATCTTCTCACATCATCACAAGAAGGGTGAGTATAGTACAATAAGATATTTTGAGAGAGCCCATATTCACGTAACTTTTGTTACAATGTATTGTTACAATTGTTTTATTTTATTATTAGTTATTGTTAATCTCTTACTGTGCGTAATTTAGAAATTAACCTATCATAGGTATGTTTACAGGAAAAAGCATACTATATATAGATTTGGTACTACCTGTGGTTTCACGCATCCGTGGGGTGGAGGGGGTATTTGGAACCTATCCACATAGATAAGGGAGGACTACTGTATTTCTTTCTTTAGTAGACTTGTAAATGAAATCACCGCTTTGATATGTTATTGGAGAAAGAAGACTGCTTGTTCCCCACCCTCCCTTTCTCTTAATTGTATGCTTGGAGTTGGTTCTATTAGATGGATGTCACAAATAATCTTACAAGCTGGTTGTTTTGAAGATGAATTTGAATGCATTCCATACGTAGGCTACTGCAATAAACATTTCAGGCCATTGTACAGGGTAAAAGGTCAAAATTTAAATTCTGCAAGAGAGAGTGTTAAGGCTAAACCATAATGCTTCTAAGGAGAGGCTTTCATGGAATTATTGTTTAATGTAATGGTATGTCCTACTGGCAGAGGAACAGAGTGAACTGAGAGTTAACTTGGGTAGGACACAGCTGTGTGAAGATTTTATCCTATTTCATCCTAAAATGTTGTTTCTTCCTAAACATTCATGGGACTCATGAAATGGATGTTTAAAGTAAAAACATCTGAAATTATTTAAGTAATCTTTTTTTAGCTTCTTCCCCACTTTCTCCACCTTTGAATTCAGTACATGCTCCAGAATGGTGGAATACTGAGTTTATACAATGAATAGATCCCCTCTTTTTCCTTTTTCTTCCAGTTGTCTAGCTTGTGGTTAGTAATAATACCCACAGTGAACATAATAAGGAAGTAGTAAATGTATGAGTTATCTTAAAAGAGATTTGCAGTTCTAGTACGTGGTATTGGAGATAGATCATGAATCATTTGTTGCAGGTAAACTGTTATATTGGGACCATGATTTAACTCTTCAAATTTAAGTTGAAAAATTAAATGTATGGTTTTTACTTATTTGTATAATCTGTCCTATTGCCATGATTTTGAGAATTCAATACAAGAAAACAAAGTTTGTTTCCAAAGAACGTAGAATAACTCTTTGGTTACTTGTGTCAGTATTTTATAATGCTAGGAATTAAAAGTAAGAAAGTAAAATATATATTAACATATTACAAATAATAAAACCATTATACATAAATGTAAATAACTTATTTTAATAAAAATAACTATATTTTCCCAAAAGAAAGTTAGTGACTAGAGTGGTATTATTTTAGAAATTTGCAAATCTCTTTAATGTTCATCCTGATATAAGAGAGCTAGATTGTCATATTTGCTTTTGCATTCAGTCTGTGGTGATTTCACATGCAGTGGAACCTCTGGAAAATTTCAATATACATTTGTGAGAGAATGAGCATACAAAAGACAAATAATGTCTTTGTATTATTATGAAAATAATTTTAACTTTGCAGAATCTCTGAAAATATCCTAGGTATCCTCCTTTCCTGGACCACATTTTGAGAACTGCTGCCCCTAAAACTGCATTCAGAAGAAAAGACAGCTCCAAATATTTTATGGTCTTAAACACCTCAATCTGGCCAAAATAGGTTTTAAAACTGTACTATGAAGTAAGTAACTTCTTTTTCTGATTCTTTCCTGTTACAGATGATTACTGTGAATGCTTCCTTGTTTCCTAGCTCTGTGGCTAACTCATTAATAGCAGTTGGAAATGATGGACTTCAAGAAAGAGACAGAATGGTCCGAGCATGCATTGCCATAATCTGTGAACTAGGTCAGAATTTTCTTTCTTGAGTAATACAGATGTAGTATTTTAGAAAGGATGTATAACACATTTTAAAGCCTTTCATACATGAATTCTTTAAGTTATTCATAGATATGAAAAAGTAAGACATTCCTGATAGGGTAGTAGAAGACTTGTTATTTATGGAAATAATTTCAGAGTAACATTAAAATTCTATAAGTTTTAAGGTTTTACTCAACATGAAACAGTATATAGGAATGGTCCAAATTCTAGTAATTAGAATAAAATCTCTGAAAGTCTGGCTCTCAGACAGTAGTTAACCACATATGTCTTGATGTGGGTTAAAAACAACAAATAACTCACCACCCATAAAGAAAGAGTTCTAGATGCAGTTAAATTAAAGAGTTAAATAGGGAAATAGTGGGAAAAAGTAAATATTTGATCATTTTAATGAAAAGGAGTTTTGAATTATCAAAAGAAATCAAACATTTCAGAGCTATAGATTTTATTGTAAGATGAGAAAACATGCAATGCCAGAACAAAGAAAAAATTAAATGTTAACAAACATAATAGATAAATCATTTTTTTATATAAAGAGCAATAGGAAAAATAAGAGACATAGTTAATCAACATATTTAAAAAGTTCAACTTACTTATAACCACAAAAATGTAATTCTTAATGACAAAAGATTTTTTCCCTCACCAAAAGTAGAAACCATATAGGTTACAATGACTTATGATAATATAGTAAAAAAATTAATAACAAAATTTTCAATTAAAGAAACAAAAGAGCCAAACCATTGAGGATTTAAAACTATCCACAGTACTGTTGATTTAGAGACAAAGTCAGAAATTTGATTAAGGAAATGTTGAAAATAATAAAAAGTTGACCACATATCAATGTATGGGATGCCTTGAGAGCTGTACTCTGACTTATCACCATCAAATGCTTTCATAATTAAGCAAGAAATAATGAAAATAAGTGAGTGAATCCAGTAAAAATAAAAGAAGAAGAAATCAATTTTAAGGTAAGTAGGGGGAAAGCAACAATGAAATTAAGGTCTTAATTAGAGAACAAGTTGGATTTCTTAGAATAACCTGTTAATTGGAAAAAAAAATGGTAACAGATATGCAAACATATGCTGTTTGAAAAACACAAAGGTCAGAGAAACAAAGAGATTAATGCAGAATTGAGGAAGAGAATATGGTAATTTTCTAAGTTGTGAGGTAATTTTTATATATATTTGAATTTTATTGAAATGGGTTTTCATACAAAATTCTAATATTCAAATGATTCACAAAGTAGAAAACATGACAGATCTAAAACCATAGAAATATTTGATGAAATGATTGCTTCCAAAAAGACTCATCCAGTTAGTTTTATCTTTAAAAAATAGTTTCAAGTAGCATAATTCTTACAAAGTATAATCTAATCAAAAGTGTTAAAAATATGGAAACCTAATTTTTTAATGAAACTAGTGTTTTACATACAAATATATACATAACATACACAAAATATTTAGAAGGCTACTTTATTAACATCCTAGCATATCTCAAATCAATACTATATCATTCTTAATGGTGGATCTCTACAAATACATATCCTTTTAAATCTTGATTAGCATTGTTTTAAAACTTTTAGCCACATTAGTAAAACAAAATAATAAATGAAGTTTACATATTGGGAGGAAAACACAGTTACTTTGTGGATGGATTTTTAGGAAACAGTCAACTGAAAGATAGAACTTAATAATTCAGTACTGTGGAAACATGAAAATACAAATTTATAGATTTGTTTTGTGTTTCAGCAATCATCAGTAAATATAATAGGAAAATACTATTTCTCAAGTGGAAAAGACAATTATATACAACAAATAAATTTAATATGAAATGTGTATGATGTGTATATATATGTGTTTGGGGGGTACTTTTTTGTTTTTTTTGGCCTTGTTGGTCATTTTTTTTTTTTTTTTTTTTTTT